TCAGAGACAAAAAGTCTTAACAGGTACAAGGATGAATTATAAATAATAATAATAATAATAATAATGAAGGGGGCAGGCAGCACAAAAGCTAAGAGAAAAGAAATAAGCCACAAGGGTCAAGTCGTGGCCCCCGGTCAGTTGGCCTGCGCTTTACGCTGCTCTTAATCAAGGTTGTTGCACACATTACACATACGCCGCGTTGCCGCTGCCGCTGCATAAGAAACGAGCCCGCATGATAAATGTGAAAGTTCATAGCCAGCTGATAGTCGAAACTGCTTACAGCTGAGCACAATGCAACCTCTCTCTTTCTCTTTCACTTTCTCTTTCTCTTTCTCTTTCTCTTTATCTATCTCTCTCTCTCTCTCTCACTGTCCATTTCTCTGCCTCTATCACTGTAGCTATCTATGGCTCGTTCTAGCTCACCTAATTGACACTTTCAATTAGCAATTGCGATTGCAGGAGCAGCTGTTAGGGCAAAGGGCACGGGCGCAACACAGTCCAAAGGTCAAAATATATAAGCATATACATAAAGCTTTCGTTAGGCTTGTCGAATTCAGAAATAAGCCCATTTCAGCTTCACAGCCAACACCCCCGCACTTGACTGGCATTTCCATCAATTACAGCATTTCGTACGAGAGAGCATTTTGTGATTTTCCACAGCAACCGCAATGAAAGCTTATTTCAATATCCTCTCCATCATCAAACTGTTTTCGCATTATCAAAGTAGGTTTATAATATGTGACACATTACTTTAACTGTTCGCTTAATTAACTCCCAGCTGTAAAAGTGAATGTCCACGCAAATATTGTTAGTAATTTAATGTGACAAAGTGCATTATAGCAACAGATACGAATCGAAGTGAAAACCACTATTGGGTTAAACCATTAATTAAAGGCTTAAATCTAATTATTTGTGACAGTTTGCTGGGTATTTGTAAGATAGAAGAGAAGAGAGGATGGAATGCTAGTTCGAATTGAAAAGATATTCTTATACGCTTACACATAAAATAAACGATATGATACTTAACAATCCGGCCACATCGCTGCTTTTTCATCAACAATATATGTATATGAATTTGTATATAAAACAAATATATAGAATCAAGACATTCCTTACTTAATAAAATGTAAAGCCAATTTAAGGAATAGTATAAATGTATATATATACTTTTAAGCAACTTATATAAATTGTGTTGTACAGATATATAAGTATATTCCCTAGCTGCAAAGTACTAAATACGAATCATAGCGTTAAGGATTTACCATTATATGGACTAACCCAAACAATATCATTATAATATGCACTCATAGACGACTCCATCAAACTGTTGAATTGAATTAAAATAACATGATGCCTTTAATATGCAAAAACTCATCAAATTTTCTGTCAGTTTTCCAAATAAGTTAGGTTAGAAATAAAAAAAATAAAAAATATTTGAAAATAGCAATGCGTTCATGATTTGGCGTTTCCTCTATCAAAATAAGCTCTCAGGTAAATACCTTGCTGAATTTTATGTGAAAGATTCGAGTAGAAAAACTTCATTTATGTGCTGATATCCAATCTCATACCCATTTTAAATTTGAAACTAGAAGCAATCGGGCATTTTACTTTCGGTGTCTGATCGGAGGGGAAAAGCCACCAGTAGCAATTCTGTCTAATTCTGTGACTTCAACTATTACTGTTGGATTTTTTTTAATTTAAAATTTTATTATTATTATTTTTATTTATTATTATGATTGTTATTATGTTATATTGTTATATTTGTGTTATTTCTGTTACTTCTGTCCAACCCTGTCCACCCCAGCTTCCAAATGCGCATTAGCATTCAATCAACTTGGTTGAACTCAACTGAAATGCATTTTCCTTCTCTTGTTTGCCTGCGAGTGCACTTAGAATTAATTTGTTGATGCGTGTGGCACTTGAATGTGAAAGGGCAACTGTTGCCGTTTGCAGTTGGCTGACGAGTTGGTAACTGGGCTATCCTGCTAGTCATTTATCAGTCTCGAACAGTTGGCCAACAATCAATGAAAATGTAATTTATAAAGCATGCATTTTTATTAGAATTTGTTTTAATTTTTAAGGACGTCATCTCCCGCGACGATTGAAAATTTATGCAGATTTTTTCAGGGCATCATTTGGGAACGCCACCGGGTGCAATGCACTCACTTTACGTGTTTGAGTGTATGTGTCTGTGAGTGTGTGCCTAGTTTATTTCTTGGCGTATACAGCTATAAGAGAACGTGGCCAAGTCGCCTTTGCAGCCCAAAGCCAAAGCCAAAGCCAAAACAATAAAAGAGCCAATGACTTGGCCACTTTATAGCCCTCATTGTTGTTGTTGCTGTTATTGTTGCTGTTGTTACTGACGCTTGTCTGGCACAGAAAGTTCTGTTGAACTCTCAGCTAATGGCCCATTTCAGCTGCAATCCGGTTACTGCTGTTTGCGTGCATGTAATTATAATTCTTCATATTCAAGTCCCAAAAAGTAAAAAAAATATTCTCTTTTTTTTTCTAGCAACTTTTGTTTTGGTCATGTATTTTCGGCTTGGTGCAACGACACAGCTGGTCACACTGCAGCCATTTATAAAACGGGCCAGACTCTCGTAGAAAACTAAGTCAAACAGCAAAAGAGTGAGGGCTAGAGAGAGAGAGAGAGAGAGGGGACGAAGGAAATCGTCTTCCTGTGCAACTTTTAAATGGAACGCACAATTTCCATGCAATTAGCTGGAAACAAATGTGTTAAACAATGACAACGACAACGACAGCCACATTGAATACGAGGACAATAAAACAGATATACATAGGTATTTATTCGTGAACAAAACTTATCAATTACAATGGGCTGGGGCATTGACTGCCACGCAGGGAATGGCGAAAGGGTGACAATATGCCCTGAAAGCTGGCCAAACAAAATTGTAAAAACATATAGAGAGACAGAGATAGAGAGACAGAGACAGAGAGAGAGAGAAAAAGAGAGAGAAGTGATGCCAGGCACTTGGGAGCTGACATTGTAAATGTTGTGCAAATGTCAAAAAGCGCACGATGACATAGGGACACAAAAAGCAATTTTATGCACCCATTGAACCCAACAACAACAGCAAGAACAGCAAGAGCAACAACAGCAACTACAGACATGAGACATGAGACACGAGACAAGTACAACTGCTGCCAGCTGACTCAATAATTTTAACAAGCTTCGCCTACACACGGCGAGCTGAGCAGCTAAGCCAGTGTCACTGGGCGCTGAGAAGGCGTATGGGTGATTTTCTATTACTCATACGACGCGTGTGCATTGTCAAACATTTATGACGTCCGTACGCCCGCTATCTGCGTCGCTCTATCAACGGGCCACGACGTCGCGTGTCGTCATCGTAGCCATTTGTCAGGGCAACCGAGTGGATGACCACTGACAACGCCCCTTCGAGCAGGCGGTAGTAGCAGAAGGGCATACACAGTGGCTGTCAAATGTCAACAATCCAACAGAAAAGTCCAGCCGGGGCCTAATTATAATGCGTGGAAAGTGAAACATATTTTTGATACGTATATCATCTAATCTTTTCAAACAAAAACATATATGAAAATAAAAAAAAATAATTTTGAAATTGAGTTAAAGCTAAAAATAGTAATAAGAAATCAGCTAAAAATTATATCAGGGACTAAAAACATTAATATTTAAATGGTAGAGCTAAATACTAAAGTAGCTTAGCCTTTTTTAGCAGCTTATTTAGCTAGCTTGATTACAAGTGTTTCAAAAATATGATGCAGAACTAAATAGTCTTTTTCTTAAAGGAGAACATGACAGCAGTCGAAAACTAGCAGATTTTAAACTTGGCTCGAATTGTATAGATCGTGAAGAATGGAGGTAGAGAAGAAAACAAATTTAAAAGAAATAATAAAATAAAGAGCGTTCAGCAGCTAGGGGCTAAGGACTAACTTTTTCAATTCAAATAATTTATAAATATCACAAAGCTGGCCGATTCTGGCCTATTCAACATATGTTTTAAATTATAGCTGGGATAGTGATATGGAGATTTTATAAATATCTAGATTTATTTACAAAATATTTTTGTTTGAGGTTTTTGTAGCAAACCTTTACAAGATATTCTCTATCAAAGGGTATCTGCAATTCGTGTTGGCTGTGTTTGTCTTTGGCTTTGTTTGCTGCTGTCATTTGTGATTGTTGTTTCAGACTCGTGACGTTTGCCAATTTGAGCGGACTGCCGAGTAAACTGAGAGTAAAATCGATTCAATGACTGCCTGTTGCTACTGTTGACTTTATTGGTGCTGTTGTTGCTGTTGTTTCTGTTGTTGTTGTTGTTGTTACTGCTGCTGCTACTGCTGCTGTAGTTGCTTGTGCTCGTCCCTGTTGCTTAACAAGTTTAACTTTTAATTAAATTTGCCGCCCATCTATGCAGGCCCAAGCCCCCAGCCCCAAGCTGCTACCCATCCATATCATTGGCCAGTAAATAGCAACAAAGGCAACAACGAGATTTTCCTTCTCAATTGTGTTTGCTGTTTTAGTGGCAATCTCTTGGCTATTGTTTGCATTGTTGTTGTGGTTGTTGTTGTTCTCCTTGATACCATTGGAAATGAAAATTCATGGTATCATGGTTTTGCTAAAAGGCATGTAGGAGGAGTGCCCCACCCCACAGAATTTATATTATGATTAACTCCATACATGCATATGTACATATGTGTAACTATATATATGTGTAACACTGTATGTTTATGTATTCCTATTCGAACATTCCTTGAACTGCTATTTTTTTTGCATCATCGTCAGAAAATTAAATATTAATAAATAAATAAGAAGTATAATTAAACAATTTTTATATTCAAAATATAATTAAAATTAAGAAAATAGGAAACAAAAAAATTATTTGAAATGTAAAAAAAAAGTCAAAATGAATAAATTATTTATCAATTTGATTGATTCAATTTTATAAAATACAAATACCAGTTATACAAAGATTTAAGGACAAAGAGTAAATTGCTTTGCTTACATGTATTCGTCATTAGTATTATTATTATTTAGTTGTAGTTTTTGTTGGTTGTAAACGGCGTTGTTTGTTCATTCGTTGTTTCAATTTGAATTTTGTTTGTTTTTTATTGAAATTTTTTTATTTTGTTAGTTTGCAATAGAAAATTAAATAGATTTCATAGTAGTTGTTGCATTAGAAGATGTAGAGACTTTCATTATTTAGCACAATTTGCATTTGGTTTAATAGAAAAGCGAAGCGTATATACAGTAAAATGATTTAAGTTATTCACAAAAGATGCTCTGGTTTAGCTATTTGTATTTTTAATGCACTTGAATTGTAAATGTTTGAACTGTAAGGGTAGATATAATTATTGATTATTATGATTATATTTTCATTTGGTTCTCGATGTACACATGTGTTGATAATTAAGCTAAACATTTGTCTAATTTCACGCGAATCGAACCTCTCGAGCTTCGGTGGCCATCTGCTTGGCCAAAAGCGGAGAGCTATAATTATGTTGCACTGACTGCAAGCAGCACACACACACACACAACAAAAAATACTGGGATATTTTGAGTAAATACTGGGTTGCCAAGAGGACAATGGAAGCATAGGCAGCTGACAGCTGGTAGCGAGCAGAGGCAGAGGTTACAGGCCACACGCACATTCAACTTGATGCACTCTCTGCCCACTGTCCAGCTGCAACTTGTTGTAGTCCTTTTTTACACACAAGCCAAAGCAATTTGTCAGTAGACGACACTTAAGTGTGTGCGTATGTTAGTGCTTATGCATGTGTGTGTATAGCAGAGGGCTGCCAACATTTTGTGCTCTGCGCTTTGGCAGTTAACAGTTAGCATTTACGATGCGCATTGTTGTTGGCTCTGCGCTCATGGGATATTTGTTGTTGCTCTTGTGCTTCTGCTGCTTTTGCTGTTGTTGTTGCTGTTGTGTGTGTGGTGAACTTATCACAGCGAGCGAGCGAGTCAGTGGCCAAACTGAGTGACTGCTGCCTCAACTCAACAAAACACGCACTCGCACACGCACACTAGCGCACACACACGTTTAATTGCTTTACAGTTCGATTTCCTTTTTTTTTTGCACACTGCACTTCTTTGACTTTTATTTATTTTGAATTTATTGAATTTGACAAATATCGTTAATTAAAATAAAGTTGGTAAAGTTACTAAGTGTCGGTCTATGTCTGCGTGTGAGTGTGTGTGTGTCCTGGGGCGCAGGCGAGGCGAAAGACAAGACACGACGAGATCACGGCCACAAAAACGACAACGAAACGTGGAGAGCTTATTGGGTTGGGGTTTTTATTTATTTTTTTTTTTTTTTGGCTTTTTTTTCTTCCTCTGTTTTTCGGTGCTGGCAGGGAGCGGGAGGAGCGAAACGGGCGCGAGGAGAAGCGCTGATTCGGGTTGCGTGTTGTGTGTACAGAAAAAAGCACGAAACAAAGCAAAAATATATATAAACATATATATGTACATACACATACATGTATCAAAGGCACGAGAACTGAAAATTAATTTTACTTTACTTTAAACACACACAATTCACGTTGTTGTTAAACAATTTTTCCTAAAACACAATGCATACGTATATAACTATTTTTATATATATAAATTATGTATATACACATATATATATTTGTATATATATATATATATGTATGGACTTGCAGATATGACAGCGTGCATGCCATATGCGCAATTTTTCGCCAATATTTCATTAATGAATTACTTTTTTTTCCGTTTTTATCTTTTTGGTATTTTTTATTAACTATTTGATGTTACTGTTATTATTATTGTTGTTTTAGTTGCTATGGTTGTTGTGTTTGTTGTTGTACAATGAGCGCGACTGCGGCTGCTGCTGGTGCTGCTGGCTGAAGCTGCTGCCTGCTGCCTGCTCCTGCTGTTGCTGCGACTACAACAACGACGACGACGGCAACGACATCACGACACGACAACGACTGAAACTGAAACTGAAGCCAACAGCAGCGTCTGAGCTTTCAAGTGTCGAGTCGACAGGCGGCGCCACAGTGCCACCCACTAGTCACCGCGAAGGAGAGACAGAGAAAGGTAGAGGGAGAGAGAACGAGAACGAGATAGCGAAAGGAAATAGCAGTTGCTGCTATTGTCGTCAGCGTTTGCCTCTTGCTCCTCACTCGACCGACCCATCTACCTCCCTCCCTCCCTCGCTCCGACTCTCTTACTCGCTCTCTATCGTTCTATCTCTTTGCTGCGCTCTCGTCGTGGTGAATAAGCCAAGGGAGTTATTAGCCGTGCTGAACTGTGTGGACAAAGCGCAAGGGCAGGATAGGATACAGTTAGTGTGCTGCTTCTGTTATGAGTGCCTTTTCATATTTCATGTGCAATTTTAACACCTAATACAGACTAAAGACGATAATAAATGTAGGCACGTGTGTGCGTCACTTTGAGATGCGTTCTCCCCTCTCTCCCGCTCTTTATCATTGTTTTTATCCCTCTCTGTCTCACCTCTTCTTCTCTCTCTTTCTGTCTTTATCTCTGATAACTTTAAAATCCGCCGTTGGTCTTGCCTCCAAATATAAGCACCAGACATGATGTTGCATATTCATAAAGTTCGGGTGTATGTCGTCCCATGTTGTTGTTGTTATTGTTACCGTTCTGTTCTGTTATTATTGTTGTTTCCACTTTACCGCAATCTCTGTTTGATAGCAATCCTGGCTCGGCTAAGTCTTACCGCTACGAATAGGTCACAAAAAATTTAAAAAACAAAAAACAAAAATCAAATAAAAATATTCCACTCGCTTAATACAGCTTAATACTCTATTCACAGGTTGAAAATGATTTTATAGGTTCAAATTAAGAAAGAGAAAATTTTGAATTAGTACCGTTGTGATAAATTATTTTATCTGAAATTTATCGAGATCGTTATCTTTAGTTGCAATTTACGTGTTGCATTGATGCTTAAAATGTTTTATAGGACTACCTTTTGTCACCATAGTAGTTCTATTTGAAACGTTTAAGCATGTGATATTTGGTAAATTAAAAGAAAAAATTAACAAAAGCTTCGTAATATTTTTATTTTCCTTATTTATAATAACAAATATATATAATAACAATACTGGCCGTGTGCTCAACACGAATCCTCATTCAAAATTTCAGCTTTCTAGCTCTTCAACTAATATGATTTCTGGCCACTAGTGGGAGGATCGGGAAAACTTGAACACATTATAAATTGAGGGTATATACGAGCAGGACGGACATTGCACGCAACCAATGATTATAAAAAAATTTAATATAGGCAAGTTTGAAGGGTTGCCAAATGGGTCTGTCGAATATGCTTAGACGAAATGCGCAGTAACTATCAGTTTTTTTTTCTTTTTTTTTGAGACGAGCCCGAAAATGTAAATGCTGGATAATTTTGGAAGATACCGATTGGGCTCCTATGGCCCCTAGTAGACACATACTTATTTTTTTTATACATGCGCTGACTTGGATCGCATGCCCGCTAAGCAAATAAAAATATTTATTGACGCCAACATCAAATATTTTAGTAACAGAACTGGAATACGTGAAATTTCAGACAAATGAATATTTTAGATTGTTTGCTTTATAATTTTATTTGTCGATGAATAAAACAGTTGCTTCAAACAAATAATCTTTTGTTTATACTTCGCAAACGAGAATCTTTAGTGGCCTAATATGTAATGCGTATATTTATACAAATGTTTTCAAAATATAATAAAAACAAATATAGTTTTTTGGCTATAAAAGCTGATGCTCAGGCATCTCCAATCAGTTCGTTGAGATGAGAGTCCATACCCTGATCTTTGGCTTTGCCATCTTAGCCATTTGCTTATTAAGAGGCAGCGATGGCTCCTGTACAGTTCCTGGCGCTTGCACCGATGCGGAATGTGCGCTTCCTGAAAATGGCGCAGAACCCAGTTGCATGCTTCCAACTACGGTCGGATACGAATACGGCACTACTGAATCACCGAGATGGCGTAACAAATTTCCGAGCTGGTTTGGAGGCAAATTTCCGATTATCATCAACTTTGGTTACATTGGAAAAAAAATTTAAATAAAAAGTGCAAGTAAACTGGAAAAGTAACTAAATACTGATATGATAGTTTTTTAAAATTTGTTTTTGTCCGGCATATTGTCCAATCGTTGCTCTCTGCCTGCTTGAGCGCTCTCCCCATCGTATATTCCTGGTATTTCAAAACATGGATATTATGGAATCAATGCAATGAGAGCGTACTAGAAAATTCAAATACTCCTACTAGAGATAACATATACCAATGCATTTCATCTTAAATAGAATTTTATTCTCTTCACGATGAAAAAAAGTTTTGCTCTATTTCCAAAAACAACAACAATATGAGTGATTTATTCAAACGGTTGACTTAAGAGATGAGAAAAAACTGAAAAGCAAAACAAAAGCAACCAATGTAACAGAATCACTCTTTAGTTATAGTCTGCGAATATAATAATATAATACAAAATGCAAAAATTTTCAAATCGGTGCAGATCAGTGAAAGTTTTGCAACAGTGGTAAGTGGTAAGCCTATTTGCAACGAAATCAGAGTATTGATTAGAGATTATTTTAAATCTGGGACGACATGGAGATCATCAAGCAATTAAATGTGTTTAGATCGTCTGTGCATTGGGTGATAAAAATTTAAAAATAAAATAAAATAAAAAAATGGGAATATTGAAAATATAATTGCGAATAGAGGCCGAATATCAGCAATAACACCCCGCGGCAAAAGACAATTGGCCAAAACTCTTTTGGCTTCTGAGTGGTCGCAGACAATTGGCGAAACTGTCAAGCGAGAATTGACGCGACTGCATTTCAAAAATATTGGATATGGTTTTTAAAAAGTAAAAGTTTTGTTATTACCAATGCATCGTACCCAATAACTTATCTTACTCGTAGGTCAAGAAAACACCCTTGCTTACGCCTTGTCAAAAAAGAAACGTTGTCTTGGGCTCAAAGGCAATGAGATACCATCATATTTAGCGATTAAGCTTTAAGCTAAATTTGATGTTAGTATTGGCGATACGAGAAAACGTGTCATCTGTAAGAGTGCAGAAACGAACCATAAATACTGCCTTAAAAACGTAAAGGTTTCTACGAGCACTATGGTATAGGGAAGTATGTCTGTCAAAGGATTAGGAAAACTGCATTTCATTGAAGGGACGGTTAATAAAAATACATCAATATTCTAAAAGATAGTTTTCAGTCATCAATACCAGAACTGGAACTTTTCAGCATCGCGCACAGCCAAACGAACCAAACATGGCTGGAATTAAATGGAGTTGTTAGATTAACCATCAAATAGCCCAGACTAAGCCTAATTGAAAATATTTGGTGGCATTAGCCGCCACCACCAATAAAAGGCAAACTTCGAAATGAGCCACAAAGAAACATTTCTAACTTAAAAATCAAGTTGCAAGAGATGTGGGCCTCAATTTTTCAAGAACACTGCCAAAGTTTGTTAAAATCAATGCCAAAACGAGTTAAAGGCGTAATGCAGGCCAAGGGCGAGGTTGCACGATTCTAATAATAATAAAATTATTGTATTATTATTGTATTGTATTATTAATCACATTACGCAGCGTTCGAATTAATAGTGGTCAATTTTTCTTATCTCTTAAGTCAACCGTTTGAATAAATTACTCATATTGTTGTTGTTTTTGGAAATAGAGCAAATCTTTTTTTCATCGTAAAGAGAATAAAATTCTCTAAGATGAAATGCATTGGTATATGTTATCTCTAGTAGTACTGATAATATAGTATGTTAAACATTGCGCACTGCAAAAAAACATGCAGTTTGAATTAATAGTGGTTTGGGCTCGTATAACAAACCAAGATTCAAATGCAAGCATAGATCTTTGGTGAGTGACTGTATTTTGCACAAACACATTTAAATCATTAGCCAATTCTCGTTTTCCACTCGGTGTTAATATCCTGAAATTATTACAAATAAATATTCGTATATCGTCGATCTTTATAGAATCGCAACATTAGCTCATGTGCTTAGATATTTCTAAGGTATGCATCTGGAATAGACTTGGAACTCAGCTCACACAGGTAAAAAAACGATTAGTA